GAAGAAGAAGAAGAAGAGGCAGCAGCAGAAGAAGAAGAAGAAGAGGCAGCAGCAGAAGAAGAAGAAGAAGAGGCAGCAGCAGAAGAAGAAGAAGAAGAGGCAGCAGCAGAAGAAGAAGAAGAAGAGGCAGCAGCAGAAGAAGAAGAAGAAGAGGCAGCAGCAGAAGAAGAAGAAGAAGAGGCAGCAGCAGAAGAAGAAGAAGAAGAGGCAGCAGCAGCAGAAGAAGAAGAAGAAGAAGAAGAAGAAGAAGAAGAAGAAGAAGAAGAAGAAGAGGCAGCAGCAGAAGAAGAAGAAGAAGAAGAAGAAGAAGAAGAAGAAGAAGAAGAAGAAGAAGAAGAAGAAGAAGAAGAAGAGGCAGCAGCAGAAGAAGAAGAGGCAGCAGCAGAAGAAGAAGAAGAAGAAGAAGAAGAAGAAGAAGAAGAAGAAGAAGAAGAAGAGGCAGCAGCAGAAGAAGAAGAAGCAGCAGCAGAAGAAAGCAGAAGAAAGAAGAAGAAGAAGAAGAAGAAGAAGAAGAAGAAGAAGAAGAAGAAGAGGCAGCAGCAGAAGAAGAAGAAGAAGAGGCAGCAGATGAAGTGGTGGCGTAGTGGTGCAGCCAAGCCAGGGCTACCAATGCTGGGTTTTCCCTCTAGATCTGGGTTTTTATATAACGCCTTGTGGAAATCTGGGAGAGGGGGGGGGGGGGGGGTTTAAAAAAATTTGTTATAAAAGTGGTAAATGTTTCGTTTCGCAACTATAAATCTTGTACATTTTAACAATCTGTGTGCGTGTTGACTGACTGACTGACTTTCTACCCCACTAGGACATCACACAAGCGATAAACACCCGATGACACAAAGTGCCATCATGTGGATGAGGATCGCCGTGGAGAGGTCCCAGAAACCGCGTTCAGACATTTGGCCATATGTATGGCCTGCCTATATTGCGGCCCCTGGCAAAAGCCAGAGTAGGGCTTCAAATGACAAAAAATTTCGTCCTGAAAAGGACGAAACTGGATATTGGTGTGCGTGTTTTTTTTTTTTTTTGGGTTTTTGTATAGCTTAGCTAACAAAACAAAAATCTCATTGGCTTGGCAGCCGTTGTGTCAGCTGCTCTTCACTGGATGTGATTTCACAACACAAACGAGTTGCAAACTCGCCTATTGGTCTCGGCGAAATCAGCAGTTTACAAAACCAGCAAAGACCAAGTAGTTACAAACACTGGTAAATAAAATACATTTCTCTGGAGAAAATCATGCAGAAGTTACAATTTATGCCTTATTTGATTTATTCTGTTAATTTGTATTTTGGAATATAATTAGAGGCGTAACTAAAGCATCACTGCCAGAGGGGCAGAGGCATATGATTATTCGGCGACATCTCTATTTTTTACTCATAGGTCCTGTAGTGTCTGCTGGATCTGTTGCCGGGTTTTCAAAATAATCATGCATTTACGATCTGTTATGATATTATTAAATGACAGATAGATAACAGTTATATTAATTATTACCAGGGCTTTTTTCCCCTAAAAACTAAAATGTGTTGTATTCTTTACAAAGTGTTAAAAAAACGGAGTTTGATCAGTTTGTCATAAGTTTCTTTGACGTGTCGGCATTCCTGCTTCTAACCCCTTCTAACCGTAACCCTATCTGGCGAGTATGCATACCAAAATCTTTTAAGGATCTCAAAGCTCAGATGCTTTAGAATCATCACCTTACAAAACACATTTGGGAAGATCTTGGAAAAGATAGATGCTGTAAAGCTGCAAGAATTTTTGGAAAGGGGGAAGCTTCTCCCAAGAAGTCTGGGAAGCTACAGGCCAGGAAAGGACACATGGGCAAATGCAGCCACTTTTGCTTTTGACGTCTGTGAAGGGTTCAAGAACAGACAGGAAACTATGGTGGTAGCACTGGATCTCGAGGATGCTTATAACAGAGTAAGATGCAACATCTTGATGACTGCACTGAAGGAGAATGAGGTCAGTCCATAGTTGGTGAATTGGGTTGCAGCTGTCCTTAATTCACAGGTTGCTCTCTGACTGGGCTTATGGACCTCAGAACCATGCAGTTTGGCCCCAGGACTGTCACAGGGATCCGCCATCTCACCTGTGTTGCTAGAAGCAACAGTAGACAAAGTGACTGTACAGAAATGAGGGCTGTTGTCCAGCCTGAAAAGGCGTCTGTTTTGTGGTTTTCTCTGGACAACAGGATTGTTAAAAGCTACTGTCCCAAGTCTCATGATAGATGGTAGAAATGTCAACAGAGAGAGCAAACTGAGGTATCTTAGAATTACATTTGACATGAGCCTGTCCATTTAGGACCACGTGGAGAGTGTTGTGACAAGATGCCAAAAAGGACTTCCTGCACTTAAGACTATGGCAGTAGTTGACATAGAGCAGAGAATGCTTTTCACTCTATCAGCACCTGATCCTGTCAGTGGTTGATTATGGCCTGGGACTGCTTACCATCTCAGAGTCGGACAAACTAGAGTGCATACAGAACACACCTATGTGGGTTATTCTGGGTTGCACCAGAAACACCCCAGTGGTGATACATCCTTGGTTTGCCAACTGTTGCAGGTAGGCACAGGTGCTGTAGGCAAAGTCATATCTCAGGGTAGCTGCAGACACAGACCATGCTTTGCACAAAGTTCTGGGTGCAGTTAAGGGTCAGCAGCTGATAAGAGGGAAGTCATGGATGGCTCAGGCAGCAGACACAATCAGACAGGTTTGCATCCTTGAGAACATTAGGTGAGGAGAGGAGTTGTCAGACTTGTGTAGGGTCATAATCACACTGAGCTGGGAATGCAGAGACTGGCCAGCAGACGCCACTGGTGGAAATTCAGCAGTTAATTTAAGATAATGCTCTCTCAGAATATTTGATCATTTACACAGACGGTTCAGTGTCAAAGAGCAAAAGAAGTGTTTATGGTATCTTAGCAAAAGTTAATGATCAACGTTTGGTGCAGGAGAGCCTAGCATATGATACCACAACATTCAGCTTAAGAATGTAGGTAGAAGTGGTAAGATTAGGACAGGCATGATTCGTGCAGAGTGGCATGCCTTGCTGAGGAGGACACCGATGAGGAGTATTGTCTGGATTTTTTCACCGGGCTATGCCGGTGTGGTAGAAAATGAACAGACTCACAGAATGGCTGGCTCTGCACAACTTGGTGAAATACTGATGCATGATAAGGCAGAGACGTGGTTAGTGCCTTGTGGGAGAGCGTGTGCAGTTCGGAGAAGCAGATGGATCACCACAGTCTGGTGAGATTGATGCAGGGGGGGGAGTGATAAGAGGTTTTGGCAGATGCACGAGGCTTAGAAGAAGGGCAAGACGGACATTCCATCAGAATGCTACTGGCACCATTAGTATCGGAACTCTTCGCTGGCTTCTGAAGATGGGGATGGATCGCTTATAGGAATGCCCCGAGTGCTGTGATGTCGGTTCTTGAATCAAATCAAATCAGGCAGGTGCAGTCTGACTTCGAAGAAAAGACCCCCAATTAGTCAACTTTTACAACATGCTTATTAGAAAGGCAAACTTTTGGACAGTTGTATAAGTGTAATTTATTTCTGAAAGCAATGACAAACTACCAGATGAAAAAAAAATGCCTAGTAAAAGCTATAGAAAGGTTGGTCCAAAAGTCTTAGGTTTGAATTCGCTATGAGGTGGATTTTTTTCAAATATTGATCTTGGCTCCCAGGTCAACCACGCTTAGAATTGGTACCAGGAAATGTCCTGGGAAATAAAAGGGGATGATGGGGTGTTGACCACATCACTTACCAAATGCCAATGGCGTAAAAAGAGACCTTACTATCTGTTTTTATTTTGGTTTTTTGTGTGTGTTCCAGATCATGTCTTTCAAATATGCTAACAACATGAGACGAAATAGGGGAGGGCCTTTCAAAACAAAACCAGCCACAGACCTGACAAGATGGCGACTTTCTAATGTGGAGGGACGTCAGACCTGGCAGTACTTTGAAAAGGAAGAAGAGATTCCAAGGAAGCAGACGCTTTTAGAAAAGCATTCACTGGGATTAGATACAGTAGGTTTGATGTGTTCTTAAAATCTTTTGTTTGTTTCCTGTCTGTTTTCTTGATTTACAGCATAATCAATTTTTGCTGTCCTCTTCCTCCTCCTAATCTTCTTGTTCTTTTAAAATTACTCTAAGAATAATTCATATGTTTATATTTATCATATATAAATCTTGACTTCATTTCAAAAGATGCTATTGTCAGAATTTAGTCCTATTGCTCACCCAGTAACACCTTATTATGCACTAATATTTAGCTATGAAGACTGCAGCTGGGGATAACATCACAAGTTTATTATTTGATTTAAAGCAAAACTGATCACCAAAAACTATACTTTATAACGATCAAACATGACTGCCTGTTTTACCAGGGCAGCCGTAAAGTCAGAACCATATCTTTCTGTAAACAGAGTTCCAGCTTTGTCTTATAACTGATGTTGAAAGTAAAAAGTAAAGGATCCATTTTCGCTTCCCGATTCATTTTTGGTATATAGTCTAAAACTTTGGTGTAGACCACTTTCACTTGGTAGATGTCAGCATCTTGTTAGCCGCCTTCACTTTCCAAGATATTTCCTGGTACCAAGCTGAGGATGGGACTCCAGGTTGTATAACTGTTAGTGTTCATCACTGCATCAACACTCTTCTGATTTGAAACAAAAGATCATCATCATCTTCTTCTTCTGACAGAAAGTTTTGGTTGTTATTCGACTCCTGGACTTTGGTTTTGATCCAGAACTTGAGTTTTGCATGCACATCCATTTTACAGATCAGAATTATTTGTATGCAGACTGTTTGTTCCTTTCCTCTCAGGCATATGCACTCAGACGTTGAAATAAACACTCCTAATCAGTCACCTCCTACGACTGGCTTGTTGAGAGGGCAGTGGGTTTGTTTTTTTTGTTCTCAAAAATGGAGCCCTAGAACCACACTGGAATGAAATAATACAAAGTCTGTGTTAACCATCAGCACTGTTGTTTTGTGATTATCAGAGTGAAGAGGCACCAGAGCTACCTAAAGCTGAAAATGTGCCAGATGCTGCTAAAAATGGAATGTCATTTTATACCAAGCTGCAAGCCGAGGATGGCCACTGGGCAGGAGACTATGGAGGACCTCTGTTTCTAATGCCAGGTATAAATATAGATAGTAGTATTTCTTCATGTTATAGAAATAACTTACACTGCCACAGACTATAATGGTGCATACTTGTATAGCTTATTCTTATATTACACATTCCCTCTTCATTATTTCAGTATTTATGTGGTACCTGTGCAAAGTAAATCAAATTAAAGGTATTATTATCTTTTTCTTTATCAGCATTCCGAGCCCTTGAGGTTAACAGTTACAGATATCACTCGCCTCCATTTATCTATTTGGTTGGCCTTCTCTTTCTAGTTAGTCACACCAAGTGTTTGTAGGTGTTTCCAGACATTATCTCTTCATAATCCTCTTGGTCTGCCTCGTTGTCTACGACCATTCATCTCCCTTATGTATACAGTTTTTACTTCTCTGTCATCTGACATTCTTTCAATATGCCCCAACCATTTCAGTCTATTAGCTCTCATGATTACAGGGATCAGTGGTGATTTAAACATCTTTAAATCTCGTTATTGCTTCACACTCTATTCCCCGCTCTTTGCAACTTTGATAGGTCGAGAGATTCGTTGTAAAAAAACTTCAAAAACTTGTAATAAGGCTGTGCTGCAAGTTTCAGAGCCATATACAACGACTGGTCTTATCAACGTTTTATATATTTTGATCTTGGTGTTGTGAGACAAACACTTTGACTCTAACAGATGTTGAAGGGCATAGTATACTTTATTTATGGTATTATAGAAATGTGGAGCTCTGGAGAGAACTAAACAAATCACAGTGAACTAAGAGGTGAGGAAAATATACTAGTAATGGATAGTACACAAACTGAGAAAACTTGATAACAATATAATTAAAGTACTCTTGCACCAAATAATTTCAGACCAAAAACCTACAGAAAAGAGAATTAGAGAACTAGGTGAAGAAGATAAAGAGGATATAGGATAAGCTGAATGCCGTGGCAAAGGATATGTTGGCTTATCGTGAGGTTGTTGATTACCTGTGTCTCATCAGAGAGTAAAGGAAACAAAGAGAAATACAGTAGTACCTCAGTATATGTCTTCTTTGGTATACTTTTGTTTTTTGTTTGGTATATGATTCGCGTGCTATAACTAGTATGAGTCAAAGTGAGTCACAACATCGCATGCTACCCTTGTTTACCTTTCTCATTAATCAAGGAAATGATTGCCTAAGGTATGGATGTATATCAAAAATGTTGCTGAAAAGTAGCACCCCAGGAAAACCTAAACAAGTCATTATAGCATTGTCTGGAGTGACAAGACAATATCACATTTCCAAAACATCTTGAGAGGAAGGCAGAATCGAAGTTGTTTGAAAATACTTATAGTAAAAGTCAAACAAAGCGAGCCTCGACCAGGTTCAAATAGGGAAAAGAGAAAATAAAAGGAGGAAAAAACACCATAATTTCAAATCATTGATTTGGGAAGGGGGGGGGGCATTTCCTCCTCCTCCATTTATCACCAGGTACCCATTTTAGGATGAATCAACCTAAGAGCTAAGGACAGGACATATTTAAAAAAAAGTCAGCTTTAGTGCAGATTTAAACCCTAGACCTTCAGGCTGGCAGGTGAGCATCTAGCCACTGCGCTACTTTGGCGTCCCGTTTTTCCCCAGAGCCATGTTGTTATGGAAGAATCCTACCTCTGGAGAAATTTAAACCCTGGTGAACAGATAATAGCACTAGCCGGAATACCACATTGGCTCTTTATATAATATATGACTACGGCTTTGTACAGAAATTTGTATAGTTGTTAATAATTCTACAGGTTTAATCATTGTATGCTACATTACCAAGACACCATTCACACAAGCTCAGAAATTGGAGATGGTCCGTTATTTACGTTCTGTCATGTGCCCTGATGGAGGCTGGGGACTGTGAGTGAAACATTTTGTATCTTTTTGGCATTTAATTTTTGGTTTGGCTTCTGTGCATTTATTAATGCGACAAAGAACAAAGCTGCTTATAACAGTATATAGTAATTAGATAAAATCACAGAAACTCCAGTTCGTGAAGGTGCAAAATAATAATAGTCAGTACTATGGAAAGATCTATTTCAGCTCTTTGTGTCTCAGATTTTTCTTCGTCTTCTTTTTTTTTTTTTACAGTTAAAAGGATAGTTGGCACATTGCATTGTTTTTTACAGCTAAGCTATAGTATCTATGCCTTTTAATCCAGCACTGATTTCAGCAAAAACTAATGTCCCTTTATGACAAATATTTTAGGGGTGGCAGTAGGTTTGCTCCCCCCCCCCCCAGATGAACTCCCAGAACCCCCACTGGGCTTAAGGTGGTTTAACAAAGGCGAAAATAATCCTAATGAAAATAGCAAGTTAAGTTTTCATACACTATGAGTGACCACTAGTGTGGCCAGATTTCTTTATTATGTTGTGGCCAAATGTATAAAGTCAGAGAACACATTATACTGTATTACACTGTGATTGGGACAATGTAAATCAAGCACAATATGTTGCTTAGAAATGAAATAGTTATTTAACTATCTATGAGGTAGCCATACGAAAAGTGTCACGTCCATGTGACTTCCCTACCAAGCCTATTGGCAGGGGAAAAGTTGGAAGCGCTCATCAGGAAAGGTCTCATCCACTCAAACATCCAAGACCTACAAACGGATTGCAACGGACCGCCCAGTCACGACCTCTGCCCTGTGTTTGATACAAGAGGAAAGACTAACTAACACTGAGGTGCCATAAGTTCATCACCATGCCATTGGCGTTAGCTTCAGTCTCTCTCCAAAAATCTCGGCCCATGGTATTTTGATACAGTTCCACTGATGATGTTTCACCATGCCATCACTTCAGGCCATCAAGCATTATCACTCTTGATCTCTCTCTGCATCTTCTACCATTGATCTAATAGGCTGCTTCGTATAAATGGCATTTAAAAAAGATAAACTGTAAACTTTGAGGTCTTGATGCAAAAGCCATAGCTATAAACCTAAAAGTTTTCAGCTTTGAAACCATTTGTACTTTTCTTCTTTCATTGCCTTTAATCTCCCAGTTTGGTGTAGGCTTTCAAGTAACTCACACTAAGCCCTTTATAGACTTGCTCATGATTTGAATATTGCAGCTGAAGTTTTTTGCAGTGTTAACTAGTTTGCATTGACTACTCAGTGTCTGTGCCAGTGGAAATCTCAACCAATTTCCTTTACTGTCCCAGTTCTTCTTCTGCGCTCATCTGAAGATGTAAATATGTTGTGGCCGTTCACAACATGGCTGCGATATTTGCATCTTTTGGCTGACACATCTGACTACTGCAAGTATTTGTTGCCCACGTTAGCGTTCCCAGTACTGTCCCAGTTGAAAACTAGTTATTAACATATCAGTCCCAGCAAAATCTTGAAGCTCACACATGAAAGTAAATGTGTAAGGCATCTGTCAGATGTACCAGCAATGTCTCCTACCAGAATTGCAGCTCACTGTTGATGCAGTCACTGTTATGAAAGCCAGCATTGCACTTGCAATACTGCATAAGTATACACCATTCTGAAACGTAGTTGACCATCTGCCATTTTTAATTGCAGTTCCCAATACAAAGCTGTTGCAGCCACAACATAAAAACTGTCCACATAAAATCCACAACTCACAGTGTCACACCAAGCACTCACACAGTAACAGGGTGACAAACCATTTTATGCCCATTCTAGAAATGGGAATTTGCATTAGCAAACCTTGGCTAGAAACAAATAACTTTTCCTAGTATCATCCGCCAGCCAGCTATCTACCATACTGAACCAGAATTCAATCTGTCATTGCTGGGAATCAACCTGGGCCACTTTCTTGGTTGGCTGTAACCAGTAAATAACTGCAGCTTTCAGAGCTGAACTAGTTATATATAAATAGTCATTAGTGGAGATTGAACACATGACACAGTTTTGGTGGTCTTGTGCCCAGTTTTGACATTTTAAATAAGTAAATAGCCATAAAGATTGATATGTACAATTAAATTATAAATAAGTGAAGCCAGTTTTGTTTCTTTCATTTTATAGGCACATTGAAGGTCCACCCACAGTGTTTGGGTGTACCTTGAATTACTGTGCCATGAGAATTCTGGGAGTTCAAGCAGATGATGCTGATTTGGTTAAAACACGGACATTGCTTCATAAACTGGGTAATTTATGCAGTGTTGATATCTGTTGGAAAAATTTGTATTGTATTGTACATGTATCTTACAGATTCCATTGAATAAAAAGATGAAGAGCAAAGCAGATATTAGGTTTTCTGTGGATAAGCCGTTTGCCTCATGCTGTAAAGGTTGTCGGTTAGTGCCAGAGACTGCATCTTTTCGTTCCCAAGTTACGTGTGTGGGTTCCAGGGACCCCCCACCACTCACAAGCATGTTAAAAAGTTGATAAATTGTGGGAGTTTACTTTAAAGTCAGAGTGCATCTGCCTGAGAGGTGAGAAACCAACAGTCTGCATACAGGTGAACAAGATATGTAAAAATAGATGTGCATGCATATCTCCTGTTCTAGAACCAGACCAAATTCCAGAGGTGGTTGAACAACCAGAATTTTCTGTGAAGTTTACTGACAATGTACATGAAGAAGAAGGGGCTTTCTTATGTGCTTTTTACAGAGATCATGGGGATTCGAAGTTCTCGTTTTTGAAATGGTTTCAGCAGATGGTTAGACATTTTTCTGAGAGAGCCTAAGCTATATGGAATAGTACCTGGTGCAGTGTATTTGATCCTTTTAGCTGAAGCTCTTAATTTTAGGACACACATTAAGAAACTCTAGTAATAGTCAAACTAGAGAGTCTTTTCTTTAGAACAGTAAGGGTGAATAAGAGAGAGGGAGACCTAACAAGAACCATTTCAGGAAATTTAGTGATGGTCATTTTAGGCTGGGTTGACCTAAGAACCCAGTACATGAAAGAAAAATCTCCATCTTGAAGTAGATTTGAATACATAACCAACATGCTGGCAGGCAAGAAGGATTGCCATTGCATGACCATGGCTCCCTGTTTCAAAGGTGCAGATTGGTAATTCCTAGTTCTGAGAATGGCTGGTTTTTGTTTAATATCTTGTGGTTAAGTTTGATTTTGTTGCTTCATTTTCAGGAGGTGCTGCAGCAATTCCCTCTTGGGGAAAGTTTTGGCTTTCAGTGCTGAATGTTTACAGTTATGATGGACTCAATTCTCTTTTTCCGGAGATGTGGTGAGATAATAGTTGTAATCCAATATGTATAATTGAGAAATTGATAGGTATTTTTAATGTAGTAAACATGATGTGTGTACTGGTAAGGCTTATATAATATCTTCAAGGGTTAGTGACAGAAACCATAGCTCCAGGAGTTAGCGGTAGTCACCATCGCTCCAGAAACGAGAAGTTTACATCCTGACTCCTGGAGCTAGAGGCAGACATTACAGCTCCTGTTGTAAAAAACAGATGTCTTAGATTCAGGTATAACTGAAGGATTTAGAGAGCTTCATAGATCCAAGTTAAAAAAAAAAATAGCTTAGAAAGTTAGAGACAGATATCAAAGCTCCAGAAGTTACAAATGTCATTGCTTCTGTACTCACAATCAGCACTGACCCTTATACAGTAGATAAAGGGATACTGCTGTGAATTTTGTTCCCTCATTGCAGTGGTTGTTGAATATTTTATTGTATCCTGTTCATTCTGCACCCAAGGGCAGCTCTAGTGTTGTGACACCTTTGCAAGCTGGTGTGCCCAGAACACCTTACATCAGTGTCATCTTTTAGTTACATCATCTACTACTCGTTTTCTGTTAGAGGATTGTTTCTTTCTTCTTCTTCTTTTTTTTATTGTGTATTTTATTGTTCGTCTAGTTTTAACATATGAAGAGTGATCATCATCATCGTCTTTTTAATTAAATAAACATTCAGTAAAGTAAATAGTTTTTTGTTCTGTATTTTAGGATACTGCCATCATGGCTTCCATTTCATCCATCAAAATTGTGGTGTCATTGTAGACAAGTCTATTTGCCTATGGCTTATTGTTTTGGTAGAAGAATTATTGCACCAGAGGATGATTTAATTGTACAGCTTAGAAAGGTAAGTAGTTATTAAATGTTTTTTTGTGTGTCTGTATTTTAGCACATGTAACAGTTAGTTTTATTTACCATTATACGTAACTAATAAATTAAATGTTTTTTGTTTTTAATCATTTGTTTTTAATTTTTTAAATTGTGGTGAAGATGCCAGCTCAGTAAACCCATATTTCTTTGGTCTTCCTCATCAGAATCCCTAGTATCCTAATATTACATACTAAATCATACCCATTAATTAATTTTTTTATAACAGTAGCTTCCATCATTCTAATAGATTTCACATAGCGATGACGGTAAACTAATTCCTTGTCACATTATTTCTGAGGACTGTACCTACACATTTATGTGAAGTGATATGTAGGAGCAGCCGACAGAATGGTTGGAATACTGAGCTCTCACGTAGAAGTCTCAGGATAAAAGCCTCTGTAAGGTTGGGGATTTTTTTTCAGCCGGGGACCAAAATAAAATCCTGACCTGCACAGTTTGTGGTGACAGCACTAGTTATGTGGCCCTATATTATCAGGTTCAAAGACCCCCCTCCTCCCCCGCCTACACTGCATAAGTAGTAAATGCAGTCAGTAGTAGAAATTTTTATGTGGGGGGAGGGATATAACATCACATATATTAGGTTACATTGAAGTTGGATGAGTAGCTGCCTTTGTTGGGCTTTGTTTTCTGTTGGAATCTGTGTATTTTTTTAGGCTTAATTTGAACTTTTGGAGATTGCTTTGTAGATAAGATAGTGATATACTTATCATACTAATATCACCACTTGTCTTGGACCGCCAGTCAGTGTGTATGAACGGACAACAGTGTTATTAGAGTAGCTAGGAGTTAAATGTGACTAACATAGTGATGTCCCAAGATATGGCAGCACCATGACACTACTATTATAAACTTTGATAAACCTCTCCTTGCCAGTTTAAAAACAAAAGAATTTCTTTAGGCCTTTCTGTGTTTTCTTTCTTTTCCCCCGCATTTTGCTACGGTGAGCCGCCACGGTGTAGTGCTAAACCCTTGCCTATGGATCGGAAGATTGTAGGTTCAGGTCCTAACGAAGCAAAAATGACCTTGACTTCCAGGTCAGCACAGTCTTAAATGGGTACCAGGTAGAGTCCTGGAAAGTAAAGGCAGCCAGCATGATGCTGACCATATCACCTACTGTGTGTTGATTGGTCTATAAAATATAAGTCGAGACCTATATGCCTAACATGTCTGAAGGCTTGAAAAAAGGTTGTTTACTTTTCTTACTTTCATTTTGCCCTGCAAGAAGAGAGATTAAAACCTTTCTTCATTGTCTTTCTTGGGTGACATAGGTTTTGTAAACTGTATATTTTAATCATATGCCTCTTTGTTGTCTCTGCTTTCTTCTTCTTTTCCTCCTCCTCCTCCTTTTGCTGCTATTGATGCTGCATTCACCCTTAAAAAGACCATTGGCACATTGTGTGTTGTTGTTTACAGCTAGCTGCGATATCTGTACCTTTTGGCCTGACACATCCGATTTCAGCAACCAAACCATTAATTGGTCACCTTCTATAACATGCTTGGAGAAGCAGCTGGTCTATTCCCAACCCCCCCCCCCCCCCCCCCCACCAACCCCCTTCCCCAAAAAAGGCCCTAAAGCCCACATGACGAGTCTCTACTTTCACTGATGTATGTCTTCAAGATGTGATTACTCTGTTTAGTTAATGTACATATTGTGTCTTCACGATCTGCTTACTCTGTTTGGGTAATGCACATATTGTATCTTCAGGATCTGATTACTCTGTTTTGGTAATGTACATATTGTGTCTTCAAGATGTGATTACTCTGTTTAGTTAATGTACATATTGTGTCTTCAAGATCTGATTACTCTGTTTAGTTAATGTACATATTGTGTCTTCAAGATGTGATTACTCTGTTTAGTTAATGTACATATTGTGTCTTCAAGATCTGATTACTCTGTTTGGGTAATGCACATATTGTGTCTTCAGGATCTGATTACTCTGTTTTGGTAATGTACATATTGTGTCTTCAAGATGTGATTACTCTGTTTAGTTAATGTACATATTGTGTCTTCAAGATCTGATTAATCTGTTTTGGTAATGTACATATTGTGTCTTCAAGATGTGATTACTCTGTTTTGGTAATGTACATATTGTGTCTTCAAGATGTGATTACTCTTTTTTGGTAATGTACATATTGTTATTCATTTTTTGGATTGCAGGAAATATTTGTTGAGGACTATAAAAATATTAACTGGCCATCACAGAGAAACAATGTTTCTTCTGCTGATCTATACACTCCTCACTCTTGGCTCTTGGATCTAAGTTACTGTAAGTTTTTATTGTTACAGATCACACTGATAACTTGAATAAATGATAATTTGTAAAATGTTTTACACATCAGAGTGATAAATTGTAATATTTGACTTATCTTCTTCTTTTTCTTCCCCTTTTCTCTACTCCTGATATGCGCTGCGACGTGTATTCTAGACAAAGCACATATTGTGTCTTTACTGTTTCTGTTAATTGTTGCTTGTGATGTTATGTTCGACATATTGTTTGCTTCGTTAATCAATACATATTTCTGTAACCTATGATGTGCCCATTTCAATGGGTTGAAATGTAATTATGTCCGTATTCCATTCGTGGATTTTGGTAAGCTGTACGATAGACACTGGCCAATGAGACACCTTTTATTTGGGGGTAATGCCTAGTTGACCATTGTTATTCATTAGTGCACTTGTATTCATGGTTGAGGACTATAAAAGACGCCGTCTGGAGGTGACAGGTTCAATTCCCGCACGGTAACTATAGCTTTCGATTTTTATGTTGTCCTAGTGTGGTTCTTCTATCTTTCTACTGTCTTTTTATGAGTGCCGTTCACAATACTTTCTGTTAATTTGATGTGTTTAATTCAGAGTGATATATTTTAACGGCCTCAAATGGTTCCCCCCTTTTGCTACTTATTTATGCGCTGCGACGTCAGAGCAGGAAGAGATCTCTGGAACAGGCCCTTCTGTTCATATCACACAGATAAATTATTATATGTATATTTTTTTTTACATCACACAGCTAAATTGTAATACTTTACACATCACACTTAAAAAGTGTAATATTTTAACACATCACATTAACAAACTATATTTTGTTTCACATCATACTGACACATTTTAATATCCTACATATCACAGCAACATTTTGTTGGCACTATGCTAAAAATCACCTACTATAATTTTGGCCATTTTGGTGTAAGTGCATTTTTAGAGATGTTATTTATCACATTACAATATGCCAAAGCACACATGTTTATTACTATTCCATATAGGTTAAAATAAAGTATTACACAGTTTTTTCCCCATCACTTCAGAGAGAAATGGAATTTTCTTGAAACAAGCTGCTTAGGTGACTTCACCATTGTGCCAACAGTATGGAAATATGTTAATATTACACTGAGCTGACCAAGTGGAAAATATTATGGATCGTGTTTACAGATTGATATATGTTACAAGTCATTAATAATTTGTATAGTGCACTTTTACAGTGACATTTGTTACACATCACAGTAACAAATTATGTGTTACACATCATAGTCAAAATGGAATGTGTTACAGTCACACTGACAGAATAAAGTAGTGTGTTGCAGTAGTTCATGAAACTCATTAACAGCCTTGTCTTTTATTAACCCCCAGTCATACACCTATTTAGGTTATAAATTAAGACAAAGATTGGGGATGCATAGATTTTAAAATAAGCACACAAATTACAATAGCTTCTTAGCAGTAGGGCGTTTTGTGTTGGTGGAAGTTAAGAACAAAATTTGGTTGGGACACCTAACAAAAATGCCCTGGTACTATTTGCCACAGGGAGCCACACTAAAATGTTACAACAGGTATGGAGCGAGCAGAAGACCTCATGAAAGATGGAGTGATGGCATTAAGAAAAGCCTTACAGAAATGAACATCAGTCTTAATAGTGCTCTTGACAGAGCTCATCGACAAACATTATATCTCCCCCCCGACACATCACTGAAGTACAAGGTGGAAGAGAAGAAGAAGAAGAAAAATAAATCTACGACCAGACATAGAATATGTAACTAATGTCAAGTCATTGCTGCTGTATGGAGCAGAACCACAGACACTGACTAAAACAGCTCCTAGTAAACATTCATTGACTTGTGTCAGTGCTGGAATAGATTAACAGATGGCCAAATGCAGCCACATGTACACAAAATTTAAAATCGGCAAATCAGCCATGTGCACATGTGGATTGGCACCTGAGACAGCAGATCATGTCCTCCAAGACTGTCCCAAATACAACATATCTTTTCTGTCAGGAGTCAAAATGCAATTTTAATCTGCGGAGTCCCGGCGACAGCTTCTTCTTCTTCTTCTTCTTCTTCACTTCCTCTTTTACCGCTGTGGGGTCGAGGGAGATATAAGGTTCTGTTTCTGGCCGCCTCGACCATAGGCACATCGTGCTGTTGTAGAGTTTCTCTGATGTTATCCTTCCATCTTGTTCTTGGTCTACCTCGTTCTCTACGTCCTTCTTCTCTTTCCATGTATGTTTTGTATGGCATTCTCTCTAAGTGGGCAAACCATTTCACTTGCTGTCTTCGTATGTAATCCAGAATTGGTTCTGTGTTGACTTTTTCTCTTATGATCTCATTCCTGATCCTATCTCATATGGTCACTCCTACAGCCCTGGCGACAGCAGTAGCCTTAAATTCTCAGGCTCAATCCCCCCCCCCCCCAGCCCAGACTATACAACAAAAGTGGTAAATACAGGCAGTAATTGGCTATGCAGGAATGTATAGAACTACAGTTGATTAACAGAATCACAAATGCTGAGGTAGAGAACTAAACAGTGGGCATCCACAGTGCAAAAAGGTGAAAAACAGTTAGTTGTTTATCCTTCACAGGATGTTACAGAACCAGCCAAGAATCTCTCGACTCTGTGTGATTTTAATAGGCAATTTTACATTTATTAGTTGGCCATTGCTTTATGAATGGTCAGCTTTCAATACATTTGTCAAAAATAAAGCAAGGTGGTCTGCTGCCTTATCACCTACGGCTGTGATCAAATCCAGTATCTCAGAATTAGAAACCGTGTTTGCAAGGCCTAAGCCACAGACGCCGACAAAAGGGAGAAAAGAAAACCTTAAACACACAAAGGAGATACTTAGAAATAGAGATGAATAATGTGAGGAAGGAACTGCAGGAGATGGTAAAAGATAGGATATCAGTCAAGTCGAAGATAGGATCTTAGTCAGGTACAAGATAGGATACCTTAGTCAGGAACAAGATAGGATATCTTAGTCAGGTACAAGATAAGATACCTTAATCAGATACAAGATAAGATACCTTAGTCAGGTAAAAGATAGGATACCTTAAAAAGGTAAAAATAAGATACCACATTCAGGAGAGAAAAAAAACGGATATCTTATTCAGAGTTGGTTGAGGAAATGTTGTAATGGGAAATAAAGAACAAAAGAAGAAGACTTACTGTTGTATGTGTTTTAAATTAATAATTTTAGTTAATTTATTGTAAGAGTCAACATTTTCAATTATCCTGGCAGTTTTCTTAAACATCTATGAGAAAGTTCATATCGGATTCATCAGGAAGAAAGCCCTGAGCGTCATGTATGATCACATTGCTGCTGACGACAGATTCACAAAATGTATCAGTATAGGACCGTGAGTATTGTGTTGCTGTGTTTACAGGACTTTGCAGAACTAGCCCAGTTATTTGTTGGCCGTTTGTGGTTTTACTAGGCTGTTTTACATTATCTAGTTTGCCACTGCTTTCTGAATGGTCACAGCTCCATACCATTGTTGAAGTCAGTGCAAAGCAGTTAGCTTTCACATTGCCTACTGCTAAATGACACTGGCTATTTAAGAATTATGAAATGTTTTTGCAATGCCTAAGCCACAGGTGCAGACATAGAGGAAGACTAGGACTGAAACCAGTCATACAGTTTGTTAACAAGTAACATATGAGATGGTTTGGACATCTGACAAATAATGTCCTGATACCAATGACCACAGACAGCCATGTTGAAGAACTATAATGGGCATGTAGCAAAGAGAGGACCACACAAAAGATGGAACATTAGCATTAGGAGCAATCTACAAAAATTAAGATCAACTTACACAGCACACTCAAAAAACACAGACAATCCTTACCCACCTCCCCAAAACCAGTTAACCCAACTCTCACCCCCCCTCTCCCATCCTAAAATGTCATGGGCTTTACTAGGGGGGGGAGAAGAAGATGCAGTTTGGTTTCACTCTGTGATTAAAAAATGCGAGGCAGAGGAGATCTTAGAAGCACCGTATGTGTGTTACCAGGTTCCTACAAGGAAGACTAACACACTCTGTGTGTGAGTGTGTGTGAGTATCATGTGTGTGTTAGTTAACAAAGGAGGGTTGCATGTGAGGCCAGCTACCTCATCCTGTAGAAGGAAACGGTAAAAAACTTAACAAAAAGTACCTCATCCTGTAGAAATATTTATCTGCAAAGTATAATATTGATAAAAGAAGTTTTTTTATATATATATGTCCCACACACAAACACAGGAACACACAAAAATGATTAGCACACACAGATCACCCATCACGCACAATCACTGGATGTGTAGTTATTCTCATCGTGGTATGGGACACACACAGGTCGACCCAGCCTAAAACACACTCACTCACACACATACTCACATGGGCTTTCCTGGGAACACACTCAAAGACAGCCGGCGTAATGCTGACACACATCCCTCACACCCACACACACACTGATGGTCTGTCAAAAATATGGGACGCTCTGCCCATATGCCCGATGCATATCCGAAAGGCGTGAAAAGGTATAAAACTGAATTTACTTTTTACTTTAGAAATATTTGTCTTCATAGTGAAAGTACATGAAAGAAGTTGTTAATACTATCTTCTTCATCAAATGATCAGAGTGGCATAAATGTGGTTGTGTATGTAAAAGCATAAGCTGTGATAATTGCATTGAGATGACCTGTTAATAATATCTTCTTCATCATTCATCCCAGTGGCATAAGTGTGTTGTGTATGTTTAAAGCATAGCTGCGATAATTTCACCTTTTAACCAACACATCTGACTTCTTTGAGCCTTTGTTATCTGGTGTTGTCCCAAGAGGACCCTGTTCAGGGCAGCTGCATGCAGATTGGTTGAAAATCTCTCTGCACTGGGGAAAAGAGGCTGAAGGAAAAGAACCTTCCATGCATTTTTTTTGACTGTGAAGAGTTTGTGTAAGACTGGGTATCTCGACCTGCAGAACAGTTTTTACCTGCAAAGATTGTCCTGGATACCTCTTGCCTCCGGCTATGTGCTTTCTTGCAGGTTTTGGTGTAGGTGGCAGTCCTGCAGTATGTGCTCAGGTGTTTGAGTGTGGTGGGTGGGACACTGGGCAGATTGGGCACTGTATCCAAAAGAGGTGGATTTGGACAAGCATATTTTGTTTGTTGACTAACGTAAAAATGTTGGTAAAACCTGAAGAAGTAGAGTGTTAAAAATTGGCTTTTTATTTCAGATTTCCAAAGTAATAAATATGCTGATTAGATACCATGAGGAAGGTCCACTCTGTAAAGATTTTAAGCTTCATCAGGATAGAATACAAGATTTTTTGTGGTGAGATGTGTAGAGTTACTATATTTAAAAACTTTTATAGAATAATTTTTTATTTATAATAGTTATTAGATGAGGTTCTGACGTCACTGCAGACGGGGGACCTAATAACTGCTCATTCAATTGTCCCATTTGAAAACTAGTTAAAATACCTTGTCAGTCCCAGCAACATCTGAAGACTGTACACACAAAGTAAAAAATGCTGCTAGATGTTGTCATATTTGCCATACTAACGGTCCTAGGCCAGTATTGAAGCTCACTGTGGGCACGTACTGTCAATCACTTAAGCCGGTATAGCACCCCAAAAAAGTGTACATATTACATGAAATCCACAGCTCACAGTGTTGCACCATGCACTCAACTCAGTAGCTGAGCAATAGTATTTTTGGACTGCCAGTCAAGAAATTGGGAATTTGCATCAGCAAAGTCTATCTGGAAGCAAATAATTTTTTAGAGCATCAGCAGCCAGCAGCTATTGGCCAAATTAGCTGGAATTTTTTGTTGTTTGTATTTTAAATAATGAATGATTTGAAACTTATAAAGTTAAGATAAGTGATTGTTTTTTCTTTTTCTTTTACCTATTTAAGTTTGAGGCAGCAGTAGCTAGATGCAGCCCTGCTGGTCCAAAGGTCTTAGGTTTTAGTCTGCATTGTGGTCGATTTTGATGATTGATCTGAGCTCCTATGTCAGCCCTGTCTAATATCTTCTTCTTCTCGGATTCACTGGCTGTGAACACTGGCCGAAAGTTCTGGATTGTTAGTCCACTTCTGGACTGTAGTCTTGTTTCAGAACTGGAGTTTTGCATGCACTTCCATTTTACAGATCTGGCTTATTTGTATGCAGACTATTGTTTCTAACCTATCAGGCAGATGCACTCTGACTTCGAAGGAAACCCCTAATTATGTAGATTCTTATGCCAGGCTTGTTATGGAAGCAGTAAGTTTATTCTTCCAACAAACCCTCACCCCCCACCCTTTTAAAAGTGGAGCCGCGGAAGCCACACAGGGATGTCTATGGGTAACAGAAAATGTCCTAGGAAGTAAAGTCACCAGCTTGATATTGACCATATGGTCCATCAAATGCTGAATGATTAATAAAAAATGTGGATCTATCACCAAATCCTGATGTGGCAATGATGTATAAAGTGGCCTTTACTTTATTTCATTTCTACTATCTGTGTAAATATTTGTCATTGATGGGTGAGATTTGATAATGTTACAACAGTTTTTGTTAATTGAAAAACACATTTTCCCCAACTTTTATTGGTTAAGACCATTAAAACAGTGTCATAGACTTTATCCCTTAGCTTAGTTCAGTTTAAAGATGATCCAGTTGTTACTTTTTTTTTTTAATAGTTATTCTTAAATATTGTGTTTCAGGCTTGGCTTGGATGGGATGAAAATGACAGTGAGTATTTTTTTTTTTTTTGTCATTGAAATGGAGATCTAGTATAAAAAAAAAAAAAAAGTAAAGTAAAGTTCCCTTTTCACGCCTTTCGGCGCATCGGGCATATGGGCAGAGCGTCCCATATTTTTACAGACCATCAGCACTCTGTGAGTAATGTGGTCAGCATTACGCCGGCTGTCTTTACTTTCCTAGGACAGCCCATCCTGGTACCCATTTTAGGCTGGGTCGACCTGCGACGTGGATCTAGTATAGTTGAAACTAATTAAACCATTTAAATATTTAACATTCATAGTGACTACATATAAGGTTAGTTGCATATCCTTTACAGGACGTTGCAGAACCAACCCAAACAGCCCCTGGCTGTTGTGTGGTTTGTCTAGGCAACTTACGTCCAGTAGTTTGCCATTGCTTTCTGGACGGTCGGCTTTCTTGATACCACTGTCGAAACCAACGCAAGGCGCAAGGCGCATGGCCCACAGCTGGTATCTAACCCGGCATCTCAGCATTACGAAGCGTTTGCATCAACTTAGCCACAGAGCCGACACTGACTACATATACACATGCTTTTAAATTTGATTAGTTCGCATTTCAATTGTAATACTTGTGATTTAATAATTGTGAAGACCACATATGTAAACTGTCATTAAAAATAATTTATATTAGCAATAATAATTTTTAGGCAATTATTCAGGATAAATAAGCATGTAGCCCAGTGTTGTGGTTTTCTGTTATTTGACTTACACTTTTCGGGTGACTTGGGTGATGGGTTTGTATGTCTTTTTGCAGGTTTCACTTCAGCATTTATCCATCTCTTTCTTTGTCTTCCCCTCGCCTTTCTTTCAATGTTCTGCTGTAAACAAAATATCTCACATCCACTTTTGGTCTCGCTGCATTCTCACTAGATGGCCTAACTATTTCATTCTTTACCTGTCAATATAATTCAGATACAGTCTTATTTCCACTTTCTCTGGAATGCTGGAGAACTCGGTCTTTTCTTATGCTGTTGTTGACCTTCTGCACTCTAGCTTCTGTGTCTCTGCTGAGTCTGCCATTAGATGCATTTGGTGCTTGAAAAATTCGGCATCATCAAGTTTATTTTAATTCAATTCAGTACAGTTGGCATCTGTGGCTTAAAAAATGTGGGCACACTTGTCATCCTGACCTAACAAGGCTCAACGTCAGCTATAAGCAGTTGGCTATAAAAAACAACTTTTGAGTTGATTTTAATATTATGAACATCGTTAAAAAAAAAAATCATTGGCAAACTACTAAATGTGAAATTGCAAAGCCACACAATGGTTAATAAACGCAGGAGCGATAAGCTTCAACCTGAAGCATTTTTTGCACCACACGCTCTTCAGGGAAAAGGGCAACAAACTAAAAATGGGCAGATCATGGTTGGGTAGGGCAGAGGATGACATCAAGCAGGTCTGCAGTCTCATAGACGTCTACCCTGGTGAGGAATGGATACCAGTGCCCAAAGCACTCAATTGCATCTTCTCCTGTGCTGTCACGCTTGATAGGAGCTGACTGGGGCAGAATCCTGTCTCTGTCAGTGCCAAATCTGTGCTCTTATCAGTGACAAGCCAGATGAGACAGATGTACTGATCTACACAGATGGGTCCGTTATACAAGGACATAAGAGTGCATGGACATTTACAGCTCGCTCTTCAGGCAGAACAGTCCAAGAAGCTAGTGGTGCCTTCTCAATGACTACCAGCAGCATGACAATGAAGAGGATGGCTGTGACACAAGCTTTTATGTGACTAGAATCACAGGACTGTTCTAACTTATGTGTGTGCTGAGTGATTCTATGAGCATGATCTGGCGGGTCAAGGCAGGCTGCACATGCACATGGTGGATGGAGTCTTTGCAAAACTCTCCTGTGTATGCAGTTACCTTCATATTTGTCCCAGGATATGCAAGTTTTGTTGGCAATAAAAGAGCTGATAGAATGGCAGATTATGCCATAGTTGCAAATGGTTGACCTATGGATCACGCTGACATTGTTAATCCCTTAGATAGGACATTCTGAAGATTTTGGAAGCAACATATCCACATCACTGCTAAGAATACAAGAATTGTGAGTTGAGATCAGCACAGCCAAGCATGAACGGGACACTGGATGCACATGAAGTCTTGTTAATCAGCATAGGACTGGCACTATTAACTGCACGGCGCTGATGAATATGTTGAAAGGGCGATCTGACCACCTGTGGATGTATCCGGAGTTCTGTGAAGATAATTCAACTCATAACTCAAATGCGGTAGTTTGTGATAGTCCTGAAAAGGATATGCAACTAACTTTTATTTAGTACATTCATTTTTCTTATTGCTTGGAGTTGTGTATTCACAGGGAACTAATGGTAGCCAGATGTGGGACACAGCTTTTGCTGTCCATGCATTTATAGAGGTAATTCATTTGTTTGTTTCCGTTTAAAAACTTGCTGATATGTAGAAAACAGAATGAACAAGGGATAGAGCAGCTAAGTGGTTACATAATCCTGGTTAAAGCAGAAAATCTGGTCTGTCTCGTGGTGTTGACTGGATTTTCCTTGTCTTTTTCTGCCATATATTTCCCAGTGGAGCATAGCTCATGCTACATTAACCTATCCTTCTCCATTGTATGCAGTTTGCCATTGTTCTCCCCCATTTTGTTTCACATTATTCGTTAATTATTTTCTCCATATGTTTTGTGTCTACCTTTATTCCGTTAACCTTGTGGGTTCCATGCAAGAAGATTCTAGGTCTCTTATTATCAGGTTTGGAATTTTTACAAAAAGTAAAAAGGAAAGTATGCACAAACCAGCTAGTTATAAAATGGTTCCAAGACGTGATTAATGATTATGGGAAATTTACCCTTTCAGTGGTTTCTTGAGAGCTCCAACCTTTCCTCAGATGATGAAGGTAGGAGAGGATCCAACTGTGAAGCCCCAGTGAGATCCTGCTATTAACTGGATTCTTGGAAGCAGCACATTTCTTTAAAGAAACTGTGTCAAAAATTTAATGAAGACAAAAAATGAACTGAGAGATATACTAAAAGAGATAAATCTGAAGAGAAATGGTTTTACTGGTCTTGTAAAAGTAAAAGTAAAGTAAAGATCCTTTTTCATGCCTTTCGGTGCATCGGGCATATGGGCAGAGCGTCCCATATTTTTACAGACCATCAGCACTCTGTGGGTAATGTGGTCAGCATTACGCCGGCTGTCTTTACTTTCCCAGGACAGCCCATCCTGGTACCCATTTTAGGTCTTGTAAAACTGGCAGTAAATAATGGAGAAAACTAATAATGGCTGGAAAACCTAATAAATATATCCAGATAATAAATATCAAGGTAATAAATATATTATGGCAGAAGATCCTAGCAAGAGTGCCATAAAAGTAGATGCCGGTAAGCTCAGTGTATGTACATATAATATTTTGAAATACATATAATATTTTGACAGATAGTTAATGGTGGATAAAATTACAACAAGCTATGTTTGCTTGGAACATTAAAAAGAAATTTGATCATATCAAAAAATTGCCAATCGTATCAAATGGATGATGTGGTCAATATTACATTGACTGCCTTTATTTCCCAAGAGATTTCCTGGTGTGCATTTAAGGCTGTATTAACCTATGAGCCCAGAACAATTATAAAAGTTCACTTCAGTACTAATTTGAACCCAAGACCTTTCAGGTCACTGGCAGTAATCTCACCACTGTCCAGTGTGCTGCCAAGGCTCCCTTTTCTATCTTTCTAATTGTTTTCTATTAATTCTTTCAATTCTGAACTGTTGTTTCTTTAACTCTTTCTATTCTATGAAGTTGAGTTGAAAATAACAAATATTTAAATGTCAAAGAAGTTAACAAAAACACTGGGACAGAATAGTTCAACTAATAATTCAGATACAGACTTGTTACTTGTTATCCTTATCATTATCTTAGCACATAGGTCTGACCCATGTGTGCTCAGTCCTGTATTGCAGCAGCCATCTCAAGTTTCCATGCTCATTTTACCCAGTAGGAGTTGATGGGCATATCTTCTTTCTCTGTCCCGCACCAAGTTTCTGCCCGCACCCAGTGTCTGCCTGCACCAGTTTCTGCCCGCACCAGTTTCTGCCCGCACCAGTTTCTGCCTGCACCAGTTTCTGCCCGCACCCACCAGTTTCTGCCCGCACCAGTTTCTGCCCGCACCAGTTTCTGCCCGCACCCACCAGTTTCTGCCCGCACCCACCAGTTTCTGCCCGCACCCACCAGTTTCTGCCCGCACCCACCAGTTTCTGCCCGCACCCACCAGTTTCTGCCCGCACCCACCAGTTTCTGCCCGCACCCACCAGTTTCTGCCCGCACCAGTTTCTGCCCGCACCAGTTTCTGCCCGCACCAGTTTCTGCCCGCCGCACCAGTTTTTCTGCCCGCCGCACCAGTTTCTGCCCGCACCCACCAGTTTCTGCCCGCACCCACCAGTTTCTGCCCGCACCAGTTTCTGCCCGCACCCACCAGTTTCTGCCCGCACCCACCAGTTTCTGCCCGCACCCACCAGTTTCTGCCCGCACCCACCAGTTTCTGCCCGCACCCACCAGTTTCTGCATGCTTGTCCTTTTTTAACGCTCATTTTCATCAGGCGGTTCATCACCTCTGACTCCTTTGTCTCAGTGTCTCTGGAACACAGTGCATTCACAACATCTGCCCTGAGGAGGACTTCTGGATGTTGTCAACCCATTCAAGTTGAAGTTTGCAAGTTTGCATCTTCTAAAGCATGCTCATTGAGTCTGTTACTGTGAGTTCAAATACAAAGGAATAATAATGCATCTATCTGCAATAGAAGACATCAGAACATCATAATTTCTTTAAAATGACCTAGAAACATGTGTTACATTGTTTGGTTTGGAAAGAGGTAATAAAAACTTTAACTTTGCTCATTTCCTTCACAAATCTAGAAAAGTCCATCACAAAATATTTTAATGTAATTTTTACCTAAACATTTACAGGCAGGAGCTTATAAAAGTGAAGAGTTTCGCCCCAGCCTCATGGCCGCCTATGAGTTTTTACGGCTCACTCAGATTCCAGAGAACTTCCCAGACTACCAGAAGTACTACAGACAGATGAGTGAGGTCAGCATGCTCATACATTAGATGAGTGTGGTATTATTTTTTTAGGCTTGGATTATGCCTGCCTTAAAAGGTGACTAAGCAGGGCTGGCTATCTCTTTGCTGAAAAACCCAGTCACTTATATAGTAAATGTTTATATTTTTAGGCTTTGATTAAGCCTGTCTTAAAAGTTGACTAATCAGGACTCTGGCTATCTTTGAGGGAAGTGACTAAATTTAGCCTTCTTAGGGCTACATTTTTCAATATATGTTATTGGTTTATTCTGAAAACAAGTTATATCCTCAACTGGCTGTGAATTCAACACTAATTGAGTTTGAAAGCTGCATTGGCTAGCATGCTTACCTGTAGGCCTGATATTCTTCTTCTTCGCGTTCAGTTTCGTATGCTCAGGTCAGACCATCAGGTGGGTTGCCTCTATGAACTCGCATGTCACTAGCAGGTCCTTCATGGTTCCCCACAGCTTGCTCTGCACACTTTGCTCTTGAGGCCAGGTTTCTTTTTGAAGTTGAAGGTAGTGTAGGCAGGTCTGCAGAATGTGCTTAAATGTTTGTGGCTCCTGTCTGATATGTACATTGTGGAAACTGTACAGCCTTTAATTTATGTATGTGGTAGTTAGGCCTGCTGTGTCCTGTTCTTAAACGGAAAATTGTATGTTGCTTTATGCTGAGTCTGACAAAGTCTTGTGGATATTTACTGTTGGTTTCTTTTCATCACAATTCCTTGTATTTTCCCTTGATAAGTGTTTTGATTTTTGGTAATGACAGTGAATGAGTCTGTTGTTTCTCATTTGTTCCACTTTTTGCAAGTCTGTCAACCAACTCATTTCCTGGTATACCGCAGTGAGCCGGGATCCACTGGAGAACAATTTTTCGGAGTCTTTTTAGCTGGCTGGTCAGTTCTCTCCCCATGTTGTCTTGTGGATCTTTTTGAGTTGTCTGGAGGACTGACATGCAGTCACACAGAAAAACATTTTTGCTGTTTTTTTTTTTCAATTTTTCTTTCCTCAAGGACTTTGGTTGCATGAATAATTGCTTGCTGCTCTGCTCTGAAGATTGTTGAGAGTCTCCTGGAGTCACATGATGTTTCAATTGTGGTCCCATCTTGGAGGCACATGATGTTTCAATTGTGGTCCCATCTTGGAGGCACATGATGTTTCAATTGTGGTCCCATCTTGGAGGCACATGATGTTTCAATTGTGGTCCCATCTTGGAGGCACATGATGTTTCAATTGTGGTCCCATCTTGGAGGCACATGATGTTTCAATTGTGGTCCCATCTTGGAGGCACATGATGTTTCAATTGTGGTCCCATCTTGGAGGCACATGATGTTTCAATTGTGGTCCCATCTTGGAGGCACATGATGTTTCAATTGTGGTCCCATCTTGGAGGCACATGATGTTTCAATTGTGGTCCCATCTTGCAGCATGATGACCAAACCAGCTCCTCCATTTTTTGCTGCTCAGTCCAATGATATGTCTGTGTATACCTGTGTCCATTGAGCCATTTTACTTGTTACCTCATCCCACAGGCCAGAAATCACCTGTCATTTGTCCTTGCAGCACATTCCCTATCCGAGCATGAGGGGTTCATAGCAAAACCAAATAGACAATCCTTACCACAACAAAACCTGGCATATGAATATTACAACAGCTGGTTTGAAAATGGAAGTAGAGGTGGTTCCTGCACTTTTTCGTTTGCTTGAGAATGAGCTATGACATACATGCTGTGATTGTTAACTGACTCCAAAATCATGCTGAAAAAGGCTGAAACATATATGCTACATGCAGCACACATAGCTTCAGAGCTCAGAGTAATTAGCATCCTTTATATATTTTCCCCAGGGTGTGCAGGTGTGTTGGGAAATGAACATGCAGATAGAGTGGCTGATTCTGCAGCACTCTATGATAAACTGATGCATGATAAGCTAGATGTTGTCAAGGCCCTTTGGGAGTAAGTGAACAGTGCAGAGGAATAATTGGATTATGATGGTCTGAAAAGAATGGTAAATGTTACAATGAGAAGTGACTAGGAGATCTGCCAGATACTTCACACTAGGAGGAAAGGCGGAAAGGTCATACAGTCGGATTTTTACTGGTACCGTCAGAGTCATAACTCTTTGCTGGCTGCTGAAAATGGAGGACTTATGGAACTATCCCATGTACTGTGATGTCGGTTCTTGAACTCAACTCAGCTGAGTACACTTCCCAGTGGGACCAGTCCAGCCAGGCTATCTACTTGCTCATTCCCAAACAGGTCTGGATGGTCCATGCAACAATCTTCATTGTCAGTAACTAGAATCATGGTATTCAGAATGTGTCTTTTTCTACTTCTTCTTTTCTCTACTCCTGGAATACCTTGCGGCATCAGGGGAGGAAGAGGTCTCAAGAACATGCCCTTCTGTTCACTTCGTATATAGTACTTTTCAGTGTCTCTGGTAGTTCTGCAGTTCATCTTCTGCGTGGTTGACCTCTGGGTCTGTTCACACTGCATCTGTATGTATAACATTGCTCTCTGTGGTGCCCTGTCTGCTGCCAATCTTGTTACATGGCTGAACCATTTGATAGTAAACATCTAATTTCTGTCATGACTATTTTCCTTCTGCCTTCTGAAGACAATGTCCATGTTTGACATTGATAGCAGAGCGTTGGTAAGAATATTGTGTTAAACAGAATGTGTGCTGCTTGAATTTCTCCATCTTTGGAGCCACTGTTATCTTTTTATGAATTTTTAAAAATTTTATTTCAGGGAGGATTCCCATTCAGCACCAGAGACTGCGGTTGGATTGTGTCTGATTGCACAGCTGAGGGAATAAAAGCCATTGTAAAACTTCATGAAAAGTGTTTTGTAAACAATCCTATAAAGAAGGAGAAGTTGTTTCGGGGCATTGATGTTGTGAGTGGGTTTTTTTCCCTACAAGTTGCAATTCTGTGGTTAAATTACATTCCATGTCATCATCATCATCATCATCATGTTGTGCTGCTATGTGCCACATAGAGCTCACAATCTAGTCCTCGATTCCATTCTGTCCTTTCAATCCTCTTAATGTTGTTCATGAATCAGTTTAGCACCTTTGACCTCTCCAGCAGTGTTCATCTTGGGATTTCGCCTGGACTTCCTCTCTCTATTTGTTTCTTGTTTCAGTGATTTTGGTGGTTCTTTGTCTGTTTCTCCTCATAATTTGCCCAGTATGTTGCCATGTTCTTTCGTGATTTAAAAAAAAAAAAATTACAGATGATTCTAGATGTTGTCTAGACATTTCATTCCATGTCAGCCTGTTCCAATGCAGACCTGATAAGGAGAACACACCAGGCACCCAAGAAATGGTTCTTCTTATTAAAAATTCCTCTTATCCAGATAAAAGTTCAAACAAGGAGAATTGCAATGGATAAACCCATTGTTCTTCACAACATAAATTTGACACATCAGAGATCGGTTTAAGCTTAATTGACATTTTAAGACATAATAAGCTGCATTAATTTGGAAAGTGAACCACGGACAGTTAGCCAGTTAGGGAAAACAAAATTATGTCAAAGCTGCAGAGATGTGATTATATAAAAAATAATGAGAATACTATGGACAAATAAAAAAGCATATAGAAGATGTCTTAAAAGAAAAAGAACTAATGACAAAACTAAGAAGCCATGTCAGGAGACAACATGTTTTCCCTTTGTGCATTGTGAGAAGGGTAGAAACTGGTGGAGTGCATCAAGACAGTTGGAAAACTGGAGGGGAAGAGAAGCAGAGGAAGATCTTCACTAGCTGTTACAGCATGACCGGCTCCAGCTGACGGGCCATGCTGCTGACGTCACCGGTGTGGGCTAATGCATTAAGGCAGCAGTTCTCAAACAAGAAATAAACTTTTTTTCAACAGTGGCAAGGGAAGACAACTTAAATTTGAACTTTTAAGTCTCTACATGCCTTCTTTAATAATTTCAAAATTTTCTTGAATTCGACTTTTTTTTATATTGCCACGACACCCCTGGCATATGCTCATGGCACCCCAAGGTGCCTCAGCACCCAGTTTGAGAGCCGCTGCTTAAACGCATCTTTAGCCCATCCCTGTGACATCAGCAGCATGGTCTGTCAGCTGGAGCTGGTCATAGCTACAGCTTTAGGTGTCTTTTGGGATACAGAGCTGAAGTCTTGTTTTTCACGTTCACCAGCTGTTGTCTTTGATATTTCATCCACTTCTGGACTTTGGTCTTGTTTAAGAACTTGGAGTTTTGTGTAAACATCCGTTTTACAGATCTGGCTAATATTTATACTTAGACTGTTGGTTCCTCGCCTCTTAGACAGATGTATTCCAACTGAGATGGAGGGAATTAGGAGTCTAAAAGTTGCTTTCTACAACATACTTCTCAGGAAACAGTTTCCATATGGGTTCTTGGGCCCCATAGGTGGAAAACTAGAATAGACCCACTCTCTCCCAAACAAGCATGTCATAGGAGTTGATTAATTGGGTGCTTTCTTTGAAATCATACGGCATTGGCCTGAGAACCAAGGAACCAACAATTTGTATACAAATGAGTCGGATCTGTAAAACAGATGTGCATGCAACACTCAGATTGTGAAGCAAGACTAAAGTCCAGAGCTGGACGAACAAACAGAACTTTCTGTCAGCCGGTGAACCAGATGTAAAGAATGGGGCAGTGGGTCTATTTTCTTTTCCCTTAACACATGGGGAAAAGCTGAAATGAGGTCTTTATCAACTCTGGCTCACTATTCCCTAAGCTTTTAGAAAGTAGTTCAGTTGTGATAAATCATGAAAAAAGGCAGTGGTTTGTAACATACAGTTATTTAGAGGTTAACATTTATGTACCAGAATCTTAAGTTGTATTATGTAAGTATAAATGATTTGCCATTTATTCAGTACTAGTTAGCTTTTATAAGGAAGCCAGGAATAGACTTGGCAGTTTGGCACATTCTAGCCCATCCCATAATTTTCTCATGCAGTTCTGTGGCTATGCAGTTAATGAAAGTTTTGCATATTCTAGCCGTCTTATAATTTTCTGGTGCAGTTCTTTGGCTCGAAATTAGTAGAAGTTTGGCTTATTCTACCTGTCTTATAATTTTCTGGTGCAGTTCTGTGGCTTTGAGGTTAGTGGAATCGGTTCACAGTGCTGTCCTTGATTTGTACTAGGATGTGAGCAGATTAAAAAAAGACCACTCTCATGGGATTTAGACAGTGGTACAAGAGGCTTACCGTGGAAAAGACTGGGGCCTCACCATATAACAGAGCTATTCACCTGGTGACCCGTGGGCCAAAACTAGCATTTAGACAGTGGTACAAGATGCTTACCTTCGAAGAGACTGTGGTTTCACAATATAACAGAGCTATTCGACTGGTGGCTCACGGGCCAAATCTGGCCCACATAGGTCTAGCAGGTGTGGGCCGCAGATCACCTGCTTGTTGTATTGTATAAATGATCTTTCTATGCTGGGGCGGGACTCTCTGGCCTGCGACGACCCTTTCCACCCCCCCCCCCCCCCATCCCCCATTATCCAATATTTTGACCCTTATGAAAACTCAAAGAGTGGCCCTAAAATACAATATTCCTGTAGTTAGCAGTGGATACCTTGTGGAGATGGCGCACAAATTACAACAAAAAAACAATTTCCGGTGCTTTATTAATATCCTACCCAAAACAAGGGACAGTCTAATATTTCAGGGGGTGGTAGATAGACTGCATGCAGTAGTGGGACCTAGGCTGCACTGTCTCGTGGAACGTAGGTGGATTATGGTTAGGGCCAGTTCTAAAAGTTTTGGGGTCGTTAAAAGCAACAGAAAGCCGGAAAACCCAGTCTTACCACCCTCTAAAATGTTGGACTGTCATGTGACGTTGTCTGGGGTAGGATATTAATAAAGAACCCAATTTCTTTTGTTTCAGCTGCTGGATATGCGGTGTGATGACAATGGCTGGGCAACCTATGAGAACAAAAGAGGTGGAAAGTTGTTGGAAATGCTCAATGCTTCTGAAGTATTTGGTAAGATGAGGGTTCATTATCCAGTAACGCTGCCATCAATTATCATCATCATCGTGTGCCGTGCTGGTAAGCATAGGCTGTCATTTTTTGCCACTGTCACCAGAATCCCAGATCAGTTCAGTGTTTTGTCTCAGCCCCGTCCATTTTATTTCATTGCCTTCCTCTTGTTCTCTTTACATCAATATTGCCAGCAGTTACCAAGTTCTCAAGTCAATTTCTTCTCATAACATGTCCAGAAACCGTTGATGGTGTTTAATTGTTCTAATAAGTTTACGACTTTCATCAGTTTTGATGAGAACTACTTTGTTTTTCTATCCTTTCATGATATTGTTTGCATTCATCTCAAAAACCACATCTCTGCTGCGAGTAAATGTTTTTCAGCTTTAGTTTACTCACCCTGTCCATTACATAATTATTTCACATTAAATAATTCTACCCATAAGATGTTGGCGTAGGCGTTGCAAACGCGCTTCATAGTGCTGGAGTGCTGGGTTCGATCCCAGCTGCAAACAATTTGTCTTGCATTGGTTTTGACAGTGGTACCGAGAGCTGACCGTTCAGATGCAGCAGCAAACTACTGAACGTAAAATTTGCCTAGAAAAACCACAACAGCCGAAAAATACTGGGGTTGGTTCTGCAAAATCCTGTAAAAGGACACGCAACTAACTTACTAACTTTTTTTTTTTTTACCTATAAAATCTCCCAGTTTGGGTTTGGTGTAGGCCATGAAACTGATTTCTTGACTATATTTACACCGGAAAATTTTTCTCAAAATCATGATTTTATTACCTGTTGTTTTTTTTTTTTTTTTTTTTTTCATCGAACACCGGCTGTGAATTCCAGTGGAAGGTCCCGGTTAATCGTCCGCTTGGACTTTTGGCTTTCACCTGGACCTGATTTTTGCGTGTACAACCGTTTTTCATTTCCCTGCCTCTTGGGCAGCTGTACGCCGACTTCGAAGGAAGACGTCAGGCCTATTTCTAGGGTGACTGTGGCCATTGTTTTGTGTGGGTCGAGACTTTGCCTGATTTGTGTGGTGTCCGCCTTGTCTCCTTCGCCGCAGGTATTGCCCCCGGAGTACCCCTTTGTGGAACAGTTGGCCCTCAAGGGAAGGCAGGGGCAGATCATGGGCATACCCCGCCATCCAAGGAGGCTTCCATGCATGCAGAGCCGGCACATGGCGCTCTGGTTCTGGGCTCACCCAAGGAATCGTCACGTCCTGCACATGCCTGCTTAACCTCACAACCGTATCAGGTCTCCCGCTCGACAGGGGCTGCGCCCTCTGGAAGTCAGCGGGGAGCAGCCCGTTGGTTTTGGACTTTTGTGACCACACAGATAGGTACATTAGCCCGACAGAATTTCACATCCTGAATCAGGCATATCGTTATCAGTTTTGTCCCAACACTCGGGCGAGTGGGGTCTTTGGGTGTGGACATTCGGCCTTTTTCAGTTCAGTGCAAATTTTGATGGTCAGATTTTGATCCGTATGATCTAGTTTTGTCGGACATTTAGGCTTAGCCATCCGATGGATGGTTGCTGTTGTGGTGTACCACAGCGCGGTGACGACGACACTGAGGGTTAACCGAGGATGTACGTGACTGGCCAGCCTATGGATGGTTGCTGTTGTGGTGCACCTCAGGGCGGTGACGACGACACTGAGGGCTAACCGAGGATGCACAAGGATGGCCAGCCCATGTATGGTTGCTGTTGTGGTGCACCTCAGCGCGGTGACGACGACACTGAGAATTAACCGAGGATGAGCATTGAGCTTGTAATTTTAGCTGTACTTTTGTCTAACCTACTCATGTTCCTAATGAGTTTTGATAACATTTTTCACCCAAGCGTTTGGGGGCGGGCTGATGAGAGCCACAAGGACACATCACCTCTGGGGGCCGCCAAACTCCGAGATCCCCTGACAGCTCTGTTAATGCTCATTTGAGACATTATCCGTGGCGCACGACGAGGACGTGCTGTAGGGGTCTTGCGTGAGGTTCCGTACAACCAGGATAGTAAAGGACTGGCGCCCGAGTGACGTACGGAGTATCTCCTTATACACATCATGTTGGACTTAACTTCCCCTCACGCCTGTGACATAAATCACCGCGCCACTTACCTGTTGTGGATTCCCAGGCCCTATTTGTGTGGAAAAAAGAATGGACACTGCCTGTCTAAAAAAAAGTATGTCATAGTCATAAAATTGTGGCTGATTGAGGTGTTTGCTTTCAAATCATAGTACATCTGCCTGAGAGGCAATAAACCAAGTGTCTGCATACAGTAAGCCAGATCTTGAAATGGATGCGCATGCAGAACTCAAGTTCTGAAACTAGACCATAGTCTATGCATGGAAGACCAACCAGAACTTTTCAGCAGAGTTTACAGCTGGTGGACGCAAATAGAAATCATGGACTTTGTTTTATCAGTTTACAGTTCTTAATAGTTGGTGTCTTACATGTTCCAAGACTTTCCCCAATTTGAGACAGTGCTCTTTGAGAGACCTGGTTTTTCTTTACATAGTATTCTGCATCAAAAATGCATATGTTATATTTATCATCATCAAGTGCTTTGTAGACTCTTCTGAGCAGTCATGCCTCCCCACAACCTGCATTTTTCAACGGAATGTATAAGTTCATAAGCTAACACCCCTCTATGTCACGAAAATGCTGTCAAGAATCTTCCAACTTTTTCTTCCTCTTGTCTATTTTCCACTGATCTTTCCAATGGTCATACCATGTTCCAGTTTCCTTATTCCGACCATGAAATGATGGTGGTTGTTTCTGATATTTATGATAACGTGACCACGAAATGATGGTGGCTGTTTCTGATATTTATGATAACGTGACCATGAAATGATAGTGGTTTGTTTCTGATATTTGTGATAACGTGACCATGAAATTATGGTGGTTTGTTTCTGATATTTGTGATAACGTGACCATGAAATGATGGTGGTTGTTTCTGAAATTGATGATAACATGACCGCGAAATGATGGTGGCTGTTTCTGATATTTGTGATAACGTGACAATGAAATGATGGTGGTTGTTTCTGATGTTTGTGATAACGTGACAATGAAATGATGGTTGCTGTTTCTGATATTTGTGATAACGTGACCATGAAATGATGGTGGTTGTTTCTGATATTTGTGATAACGTGACCATGAAATGATGGTGGTTGTTTCTGATATTTGTGATAGTGTGACCACGAAATGATGGTGGTTGATTCTGATATTTGTGATAACGTGACCATGAAATGATGGTGGCTGTTTCTGATATTTGTGATAACGTGACCATGACATGATGGTGGTTGATTCTGATATTTGTGATAACGTGACCATGAAATGATGGTGGCCGTTTCAGATATTTGTGATAACGTGACCATGAAATGATGGTGGTTGTTTCTTATATTTGTGATAACGTGACCACGAAATGATGGTGGCTGTTTCTGATATTTATGATAACGTGACCATGAAATGATAGTGGTTTGTTTCTGATATTTGTGATAACGTGACCATGAAATTATGGTGGTTTGTTTCTGATATTTGTGATAACGTGACCATGAAATGATGGTGGTTGTTTCTGAAATTGATGATAACATGACCGCGAAATGATGGTGGCTGTTTCTGATATTTGTGGTAACGTGACAATGAAATGATGGTGGTTGTTTCTGATGTTTGTGATAACGTGACAATGAAATGATGGTTGCTGTTTCTGATATTTGTGATAACGTGACCATGAAATGATGGTGGTTGTTTCTGATATTTGTGATAACGTGACCATGAAATGATGGTGGTTGTTTCTGATATTTGTGATAGTGTGACCACGAAATGATGGTGGTTGATTCTGATATTTGTGATAACGTGACCATGAAATGATGGTGGCTGTTTCTGATATTTGTGATAACGTGACCATGACATGATGGTGGTTGATTCTGATATTTGTGATAACGTGACCATGAAATGATGGTGGCCGTTTCAGATATTTGTGATAACGTGACCATGAAATGATGGTGGTTGTTTCTTATATTTGTGATAACGTGACCACGAAATGATGGTGGTTGTTTCTGATATTTGTGATAACGTGACCATGAAATGATGGTGGTTTGTTTCTGATATTTGTGATAACGTGACCATGAAATGATGGTGGTTGTTTCTGATATTGATGATAACATGACCGCAAAATGATGGTGGCTGTTTCTGATATTTGTGATAACGTGACAACGAAATGATGGTGGTTGTTTCTGATGTTTGTGATAATGTGACAATGAAATGATGGTGGCTGTTTCTGATATTTGTGATAACGTGACCATGAAATGATGGTTGCTGTTTCTGATATTTGTGATAACGTGACCATGAAATGATGGTGGTTGTTTCTTATATTTGTGATAACGTGACCATGAAATGATGGTGGTTGTTTCTGATATTTGTGATAGTGTGACCACGAAATGATGGTGGTTGATTCTGATATTTGTGATAACGTGACCATGAAATGATGGTGGCTGTTTCTGATATTTGTGATAACGTGACCATGAAATGATGGTGGTTGTTTCTGATATTTGTGATAACATGACCACGAAATGATGGTGGCCGTTTCTGATATTTATGATAACGTGACCATGAAATGATGGTGGTTGTTTCTGATATTTGTGATAACGTGACCATGAAATGATGGTGGTTATTTCTGATATTTGTGATAACGTGACAATGAAATGATGTTGGCTGTTTCTGATATTTGTGATAACGTGACTATGAAATGATGGTGGTTGTTTCTGATATTTGTGATAACGTGACCATGAAATGATGGTGGCTGTTTCTGATATTTGTGATAACGTGACCATGAAATGATGGTGGTTGTTTCTGATATTTGTGATAACGTGACCATGAAATGATGTTGGCTGTTTCTGATATTTGTGATAACATAACCATGAAATGATGGTGGTTTTTTTTTATATTTGTGATAACGTGACCACAAAATGATGGTGGCTGTTTTTTATATTTGTGGTATCATGACCATGAAATGATGGTGGTTGTTTTTTATATTTGTTGTATCATGACCATGAAATGATGGTGGCTGTTTTTTATATTTGTGGTATCATGACCATGAAATGATGGTGGTTGTTTTTTATATTTATGATAACGTGACCACGAAATGATGGCATTTATTTCTGATATTTGTGATAAATTGTCTTTGGCCCTTGACTCTTTCGAAACATCTAAATTGCTCTTTCATGGCTATTTAAGAATTTTTCTGTAAAACATTTCTGAGGCGTCAAAAAATTGTGAGGCTTGTTTAGTCATTGCCCATATTATCATATTTATGTAGCATGCGAGAATTGTTTTTTCCTAACCTCCAATGGCATATATTTATTGCATAAATTATATTACTTTAGTTTTTTTTTTTTTTTTTTTTTTATGATTGCTTTTTCACCTTAATGTATAAATGAAAATAGGGCCTTGCAGTTTGGCAGGAGTCAGGGTTATGATTTATCCAGTATTCACTATTGTTAACAAAAGATTTGATTTGATTGATTTGATTTGATTAAAGAACCGACATCACAGCACTCGGGGAATTACCATAAGCGCTCCATCCCCAGCGAAGAGTTCCGATACTAATGGTGCCAGTAGCATTCTGATTAAACATTCGTCTTGCCTTTCCTCTGAGCTCGAGCATCTGCCAGAACCTCTTGTCACTCCCCACTGCATCAATCTCACCAGACTGTGGTGATTCATCTGCTCCGCCGGACTGTACACGCTCTCCCACAAGGCACTAACCATGTCTGCCTTATCATGTATCAGTATTCCACGAAGTTGTGCAGAGCCAGCCAGTCTGTCTGTCTGTTCATTTCCCAACACACAGGCGAAAAAATCCAGACAATACTCCTCACCCTGTCCTCCGCAGTAAAGCATGCCACTCTGCACGAAGCATACCTGTTCTAATCTTCCTCAGCATGCTTTCTGAGTCAGTTACAATCACGATGTGTGTGTGTGTGATATTCTGTAGCTGTTGTTCCCAAATAAAAATAATCAGTGTGAAATTTATGGTGATAAAAATGTATGAATTTGGCTTGTGATATAAATAATGTACATTTGGCTAAACATTGTCAGAAAGATTGCCATAGGATTTTTTTTAAAAATATGATTACCCACACTCTGTGCCATAAAATGAAGAGTGTTTCATGACCATCTTTGTTAATAAAACTGGAAAAATACATTTCTGGATGTTCATGTAGAGCAAAATAATTTCACAAAAGGAAGTTTGAGATCGATGTATGACAAGCTAGGTGTCCTGTCAAGAAATAAATGGCTAACCATTCAGAGATCAATGAGTGTAGCTCTTTAGCAAATATTACTGTGTAGATCACATATTTTTGTCAGGTCTTTATGAGATGAATGATCAGTTATCTTCTTTAGATATCCAGTAAAACCTTACTAACATGAACATTCTTAAGAGGAACACTTGATTAACATAAACAAAATGTTTGTCCCAGCAGGGATATATTATTATTATTCCCCAGTTAGTACTCATTTAAACAAAAAATGTTGGTTCGATTTTTGGTTCCTTTGGAATGTGTGTTTTACACTGGGAAGGCTAACCAGATCAACAAATGCCTGTAGAAGTCCGATGTGTCAGACAAAAGGCACAAATATCACAACCTTGCTGTAATTTGGCACAATTACATAATTACATCTTTAGCTATGCAATATTTTTTTTAAAATAATTATGGGCTCAGTCTTTGGTCCCTAGGATTGTGTGTTAATAAGGTTTTACTTACTGTATTCTTGCGCGATAAATTGAGACATACGTTAATTTTAATAAATATCTAATGTTTCAGGAGACATAATGATTGACTACACATATGTTGAATGCACTTCAGCCTGCATGCAGTGCCTGGCATCATTCACCAAAAGTTATCCAGAATATCGCCAGCAGGAAATTAAAGTAGCTCTCCGGGAGGGTCTCAAGTACATAAGCAATAAACAACGGCCCGATGGGTCATGGGAGGGCAGCTGGGGGGTGTGTTTCACTTACGGGGCCTGGTTTGCTCTGGAGGCCTACAGTTGCATGGGCTACACTTATGACAGTGGGGAAGAGGTGCCTGATGAGATCAAAAGAGGATGTGAATTTCTGCTTGATAAACAGATGGAGGATGGAGGTTGGGGTGAGAACTTTGAGTCTTGTGAAATCAGGGAGTATGTCAACAGTGAGACATCACAAGTTGTCAACACATGCTGGGCAGTGCTGGGACTGTTGGCTGTGAAGTAAGTATGTCTCTGCTTGTGTTCAGTCTATCGTCAGTCTTATAGTTCCACCTGCGTATTGCCATGAATTTAAAATGCTGTGCCATCTCCACAGAGAAGGTTGGCTTCTGTTGATATGTGCATCTGCAGCTGTCTTTGGGAATGTTACCTGGTGAGGCTATAGTTTCTTCCACAGTGCGATTCCCACACCATTCTCAAAAAGCCACGAAAATTGTCTTTTTTTTGTTGTTGTTGAAATTATTTGACCATGATGGTCATCTTTTCTTGTTCACTGGCGGATGGTTCTAGCTAATCGTCAGATTCATGCAATCAATAGTCTTGTTCAAGTACATGAGTTTTGAGTGGACGTTCATTTTACAGGCCTGGCTTATTTTTATGCAGACTGTTGGTTCCTTGTTTATCAGGCAGATATTTCAAGGAAACATCCCTTATTTATTGACCGTTAAACATGCTTGTTAGGAGGCAGTGCATCTGTATTTTGTCCCCACCATAATTGGGCTCGGAGCCCAAATGGGAGACCATGGAAATCTTCTTCTTGGCGTTCTATTTCTGTAAACTTTGGTGAAAAGTTCCGGTTGTTCATCCACCTCTGGCCTTTAAACTGGTTCCAGAACCTGAATGTTGCTTGCACATCCATTTTACAAATCTGACTTATTTGTATGCAGACTGTTGGTTCCTCGCCTCTCAGGCAGATGCACTCCGACATCAAAAGAAACCCCCAATTAGTTGACTTTTACGACATGCTTGTTGGGTAGGCAGTGGGTCTATTCTTGTTTCCCCATAATGGGGCCCCAGAACCCACATGCGGAACCATAATAATAAAATGTTGCAGAATGTGTTCACGTAATATCTAAGCCACAGATCTGCCATTCTGCCATGTTTAATTTGCTGAGGAAGTAGAAAATGAATGAGGTTCATTTGGTAAAGGACCCAGACATGACAGAGGAAAGAACATAGTCAAATTCTGTGGAGAAAAAGTTGTACTGTCTCTACAGTGCTGCACTGTATCAGCAGTGGATACAGTGTATCAACCATTAACTATTGGAATATTACATCTGAAGAGCCTAATCTCTTTCATGGTGCGATTCTCTTACCACTGTAAAAACCATGATAGTGGGCCACAACAGAAATCAAATTCTGGTAAAAGTTGGGGATTATGTAGAAAATGTTTCCGTTACAGATGTCGTATTAAAACAACATTCTGCCTGCACTTTGCGTAATGGTAACAGCAATTTCATATTCCAACAAAGCTGTTAAATGTCAGTGGTTTAGAAAGAATGGTAATAGGAGCTTGGCTCCTGAAAGAAGAGATACGAGTTGCCTAGTACATAAGGTTTGCACGTAATATTTGAGACATATTTGGTATGGGAATACATGAAGTAGAGAATTAGTTTGAAATTGGTATAGACCGAGTTTGTTCACTAGGTGTGATGAGCGCTACATTCTGCAAAAGACATCTATATGATGATGTATGGTAAAAAAATTTTAGATGTAATAATTTGGTGCAACTGTGATTTTAGTTTTTACATTATTATGAAATTAAATAAAGAATCAGCATTGAGGAAAGTTCAGAACGGACATTTGTGGCATGAGTGGATATTAAGCACCAGTATGTCAGTATTACAGGGACATACAGGGATGTACTATTTATGATATGCAGGAGTGCAAGTTAATGAAAGAACATATTTTTTGCTACAAAAGCAACAGTGATACGAACACTCATATTGGACAAGACGGACATTCTGAAAATCATTTGTGAGACAAATTTGAATGGAAGCTAGATGAAACAATGTGTATGAGGTTCTTAAAATTTAACTGCACTGGTAATGTGGAAAAATGTAAAGAAAAGGTATAAAACCGAACAAAAAGTATATCAGCAAGCTTCACAATATAACAAACACAAACAAAATGTGAACACTGGTAATCTGGTAATCTTAGTTTCAGCTTCATAGCAAGCGGGCCACCTCATAGTTGCTCCGCTCCTGTGCCAACAAAAAGCACACAGAACGTTTATCACAGTCCCTTGTGGAAAGATTGACAGACGGCTGTCTCAGCATCTGCACTAGCGTACACACGCATTAAAAGCATATGGTAGCCATTCGAAGTGCTAACACAAACAGTCTGACATTTGAAATGCAGTTTATCATTGATGATAGCAGAAGTCACCAACAGATCAGCAGTTGCACACGCGATCAATTTTAACCACATAATGGCACCACCAATATTGCAACAACAGGCATCACACCATTTTCTGAAAATACAGTTCACACCACCATGTTGGTCACAGTCGAAAAATATTCCAAATGAAATCCGCAGCTCACAGTGTCACGACATGCACTCCACTCAGAAGCTGGGCAAGGAAACTATATCCTTTCAGTCTACAAATGGAGCAAAAATGCAACGGGCACCGTCTGGCAGAAGCAAAAACTTTGCCACGGCTCAAAACAGTGGGCGTGCCTAGCGTCCATTTTTTACCGGAACAACCGGAGAGGGGAAAGTATTTGATTCTGATGAGAATTTATGAGTTGTTTGTATTCATATAGTGAGTGTCTGTATTCATATATTGAGTGTATGTATTCATATAGTGTCTGTATTCATATATTGAGTGTATGTATTCATATAGTGTCTGGATTCATATAGGTGTGATATAATCTGTATGTCTTTTACTTTCTTTATGTGAAGTCACCTTACATTGTTTCTGTTATTAATAGTTATCCAGACGTAGAAGTCATTGAAAAAGGCGTACAGGTCATTATGTCAAGGCAGTTGCCTAATGGAGACTGGCCACAGGTAGGTCAATTGTTTTGTTGTTGTTGTTTGTTATTTTCAAAATTAAATGCCAGTGTTTTTATTTGTTTTACACAAGCACGGGCGCTTGGTTCTCAGGTCGACCCAGCCTTGAGTGGGTGTCATTTGCAGTCCTGGAAGTAAGGGCAGCCAGCTTGGTGCTGACAACATCCCACAACAAGTACCAATTGGTCTTTAAAATTTAGGTCTGACCCTATATACCCAATACCCCTAAAGGCGTGGAAAAGGGCTCTTTAAAGACAAAAATGGCATCCATGAAGCAAAACATAAATCCATCACATATATGCTCTGACACTAGGATAGTTGGAGAAGAAAGGCAGGGGATCCCAACAGAGAGAATGTTCAACCATTTGGCTTCGTGTCAGAATAGCGGCATCATAAATTATTAGCAGTACACAATACAGACTGGGTGGCCTATGCCGGATGGCACAAACCAGTGATTCTTAACTTTTTTTTTTCAAAACCTGCAGACCACAAAATGGATTTTACGGCCCAACTGGTATCTTACCAAACACAGAAACAAACAGAAACAGAGATGGTGGTTTATGTGTTAAATCCGATATCACAAAATTAAAACATTTTGTCTATTGCCTCATGTGCTGCTGCTTAGAAGTTATAAAATCTGATATATGTGGCTGGAGCACTGTTGATGTATTGCATGCTACATTAACATCCATCCTATTTCTCTATTTGGTTTTTATGACTGATACGGTTGAGAAAGTCTTTTCACACAAATAGAAAGTTACAAAAACTTTTTGTTATGTTTAAACCAACAATATGAAAGCCCTGTTAACTCCGAGATCGATATTCTTTTCTTGTTACTTGATTAGTTAGAAATTATTGGCTGCGAAACAGGGCTGTCAAGGTCTGTACGGCTATGGAATGAGAGCGTATAATGATGGTGAATTGTTAACTAAGTACTGACGACCGTATTGTGACTGAGTGTTTAATGAGGCACAAAGCCCTCGTGGTCGGGTCATTTAATTATTCCTGAGTTCACGAAGTTAACACGGACCGGGGAGTTAATTGTGGACTGAACAAAAGGGGGAGACAACTGGTTTTTCAAGACAGTTTTGCAAGGATTCAGGAGGAAGACTTGGACAAGACTGCGTATTGTTCAGACCAGTCAGTGTTTCTGTGTTTGACTTGAAATGAGCGACAAATGTTTTGTGAAAGCGCGTTTAGCTTGACGGTAGGATAATGTAAGTGTTAGTGAGAGAAAGTCTACTGTGTTTATTGATACTGGTAGTCAGTTATGTATTTACATATGTGTTAGCGAGGTGGTTTTCCTCACGACCCATCCATGGACATTGGTCCATGGGTGGAAAATCATTGGCATAGACTATGATAATATGCATCTTGCTGGCTAAATAAAATGTTTTTGTTTTATGTAGCTGTGAGTTTCAGTGTGAAATATGCTTCACAGTTTCTGAGCAGTCCATTTAGGTTGTTATGTTTCTCTACACACATTCATAGTTACCCACCATCTTATCTGTCTGTCATCCCTTCAACAGGAAAACATCAGTGGAGTGTTCAACAAGTCGTGTGCCATTAGCTATACAAGCTACCGGAATATTTTCCCCATCTGGGCCCTTGGACGATTTGCCTCTATGCATCCTGAAAGCCTGCTAGTCAAAAGCTAAATAAGATTTCTACAGTCATATTTTGACCTTTTTTTTTTAATTTTAGTTGTTGTTGTATCTTCTATATTCATTTACATGCAGATCCTGTGTGCAATTTGGACTTTATAAACATATTTTCTTGCCGTTTTTCTTCTCAATAATTTGATGTTAGGTTAATATATGTGTGCAGATTATATCCTTCTTTTTTTTTAAATTAATGACAATGTCCTTGTGGTTAGTGTGTTTCAATACTTATACCTGTGCTATTCAACTGGTAGCCCATGAGCCTAATCTGGCCCACAGAGGCCTACCAAGTGGCCCGTAGATCACCTGACAAGTGGATTGCATTAACTCTTTCAGTTCCAAGGAACAAAGGAACACATCATAGGTTCCTACTTAGAAGCCCAACAATGAACACAAGATGCACATATTTTATGTCTCTGTTAACCCCCGCCCCCTTCCTTTAGGAATGCGGCCCACGATGATCCCCATTTTTCAACATTCTGGCCCTAGAGTAAACTTAGCTGAATGGCCCTGTCCTATTTAGTGGTCCAGGTTCAGTCACCAGAAGCATTTTTGTCTCTTTAATATTTTCCATTACTGGAGCATTTTCTGTCATGGGTACTTCGAGGCCTCAGAGATATGGTTTTACAGTAGAATGATTAGAATACCTTGGACAGCCTCATAGATGTGGTTTTAGAGAAGAATGCTTAGAATACCTTGGACAGCCTCTGAGATGTGGTTTTACAGAAGAATGCTTAGAATACCTTGGACAGCCAAAAAGAGCAACCAAGAGGTTTTGAAAGAGGCAGGAGCCCGGAGACAACTTATCACAGACATCAGAAGGAGACAGTCATCATTTTTTGGCCATGTTATGAGAAGAATGAAAATAGAACATGTTGTGACCACTGGAAAGATCTGTGGAAGGAGGGATAGAGGAAGACAACGAGAGAAGATGCTTGACATTCTTGTTGCATGGCATGGAGGTGTGTCGGCACATAAACTGATACATGCTGCAGGAGATCGCAGATTGTGGAGAGGCATGATTGCCCACGCCAGTCGGCAAGGCACCTGAGGATGATGATGTACTTCACTGTTGTTGTTTTTTTTTTTTTAATCTTTTCTTTTAAAATAAATGAAAGTAAACATGTCATCTAAATAAACAGTGTTGCTATCAAGACGATGTAAAATAATGGAAAAAATTGTGTATATTCCAAAAGGGGAAAACTGAATTGTTGATACAATCACCAAAGTGCCAACTCCACCATATAGGCTGGACACAGTGGATCTCTACAAACGCCATCTCTCATTCGGCTGCTACAGTCTAGCAGTAGATGGTTGTTTATCTAGCTCTCAATGTCTTCCTATTTATTGTGATGCATAATTTGTGTACTCTGATTTGTTTTGCCTTTTTTGGCGCTACAAAATTGTGACAGCCTAATATGTTAAGGTATATAAAAAGAATAATCAAAGAATATGATCATTGAAGCTTTAAATGGTATACATTTCCCGGGGCCAAAAAATATACGTATTAGGTGACTTATCCTGTGTGACTTCTTTCTTTGAGGCTTAAAGGAAAATTAGATGTGAACTTGGCTTTAAAAAAAAAAGCCAATTGATTTCAAGAAAAAACACCTGAATGCTATTTATAGTTAACATATTCACATCCTGGGCCCATAAACCTTTAGGCTGGCACAAACACAGCCAGTGACATTAGCTGGACACCTTGTAAACAGGCAAGTCAGAAAAGTGTATTTCACAAGGTATGGACTTCAACGGGAAATGTTAGTTTTGCAGCTTCCTGTGGAGACAGGGTTAAGCTTAGGCTGCCATATTTCTTAATCTCACACGATAACCAGAATCACTGATCAGGTAAGTGTTCTCTCCCCCCCACCCCCCCACCAGGTGGCTAAGCCGTCCATTGCTTTGCCTTCCTCTTGTTCTCTTACCTTCAATCTTGATGGTTGTTATCAAGTTCATTCATTGTTCTGATCAGTCTTACAGCAAGGACTACCTCATTTGTTTTTGTTTTTCTTGTATTCATTCCATGTTTTGAATATTACTTTCCTTCAACAGGTTTCATAAGAATGTAATTTCTGTTAATGTGGGCTAAACTATACATTTTGCAATTATTATTTTTTTAAACATTTTTTAATGAACATTTATGACACACTCTCTGCTTCTCTGTTGCTTTTATTTCTGAAATGTCCACATTTCAAGCTCCTCACTGTCATTTTAAAATTCCTCACCAGTTTTCCTTGTTTGTGTACTACAAAGTGGCATACTTCCCAGGACTTTGCCAGGTCGACCTAGGAGCTAAAGTCATTTTGTAAGAAAGTCCAACTCCGCCAGGACCTGAACCCATGACCTTCAGATCTGGAAAAGGACATTTAGCCACTACACCACTGTGGCTCCCTTTTTCTCTGTACGTGTTACATAGCTAAATTCCCCGATCGTTTAAGGTTTTTTTCAGGTATTTTTTTTTTAAAAGGCTGCAGCGGGTATAATGATGCTTGAAACGTGCACAAACCTATGCACTACAGATAGTGTTTACATGTGGTGTTGAATTCCTTTACCACATCTACACCATTTATTCATGTCTTACTTGGTCTTCCTCTCGCTACCTCCTAGATGTTCTACTCTAAATAGTCTCTTAGGCAGTCTGGTTTGGCTGCATTCTCACTAGATGGCCGAACCATTTCATTCTTTGTTAGTATAATAATTATGACATGGTCTTATTCCAACTTTCTCTCTAATACTGGTATTCGTAACCCTGTCTTGTATAGTGTTGTTAGTGACCTTGCAGAGACAGCGTAATTCACATGTAGTTATTTTCTGTTCTAGTGCCCTAATAATTAGTTTTACTAATATTATTTGTAATAATTCCTTCTACTGTTCCCCCCCCCCCCTAAGGTCTAGTCCAGATGTAAAAAGACTCCATCCTGTGCAACCACTTCGATTTCATGGATAGAATCCAGTCCAACAACTGCCTTCTCTCAACATTCGCGTTACGATATTTTATTTCCTCAACCCCTCTGTTTCCTATTTCAGAGCTTGATGATTCTCTGCTTGTTTCTTCTCAGAATGGCTCCAATATAACACCATCTTCTTTGTCTTATAACTGTTGATATAAGTGGTTGCCCAGACATTTCTCTGATTTCATCACTCCTCTTGAATTCATCCAAATTTACTTTCATTGATTTTTTTGTTTTCAAATGCATTTAAATTTTTATGTATTGAAAAAGAATGGTATGTTTTGTTCATGACTTTTTGTGAAGTTGCAAGTTTAAAATGTTGATGTGCACAAAATTTTTTGTATTATATTTTATAACTTTGTAACCATAACTTTTTAAAGAGACCAATAAAGAAGTGTCCTAAATGAAACAACACTTTCATAACCAAAGGCTTTGTAATCAGATTAACCTACTTGCTGTACAGTGGTGCACTTTCCAGGACTTTACAATAACAATGCTTTCAATCAGGGCAACATTTTAAAACCCTTAACATTTGAAGTGTGGTTTAGGTGGCCTTACCATTTCACCACATTAAGATGCAAGATGGAGAGGAAGGATGTTAGTCTCTAGGATCTCTTCCATGGTAAAATTGCAGACTGGTAGAACTGGTGGAGGTCGGCCTCTACAACTTTTTCCTGGAATGCCTTGCAGCATCAAGGCAGGAATAGATCTCTGGAACAGGCCCTTCTGTTTGCTTCGTATATAGTACTTTTCAGTGTCTTTAATATATCTGTTACTGTTTTATCTGTATAACTTTGTTCTCTGTGGTATCCCGTCTGGTGTCAATTTTGTTACATGGTCCAAACCATTTGATCTGTTATCGATAAAGTTCAGTAGTGGTTTTTGTGCTGACTCTCCTCCTGATATCATCGTTCCTAAGTTGATCTTTCCTCGTTACACTTAGCATAGAACTTACACATTTCATTTCTGAAATGACTATTTTCCTTAGGTTTTCTGAAGACAGTATCCATGTTTGATATTGATAGCATACTGCTAGAAAAAATATTGTGTTAAATAGTGCCCTTTTAGTGTTCATATTCATGTGCTTGCATTTCAAAATTGGTGCCATTTGGCTTTTTTACATCTTTGATGGATTTTTTAAATTAATTATTCTGTCTTCTGGGGGAAAAAAATGCTCCACAGATATGTAAAGCCCTTAGCCTGCTTCAACTGATGTTCATCAACTTTGATATAGGTGGTTCTTCTTTTTCTGGAGAATGTCATAATTTCTGTTTTGTCTCTGTTGATCTTCAAATCAAAGTCGTTGCATGATGAGTGAAGTCTGTTAATATGCTCTTGTAGCTGTACTACTGTTGGTGCTATAATTGTCTCTACTACAATACATTATACAGATTTTTTTATATTTTTATTTTTAAAAAAAAAGTTATTTGTGTATCCTTTGCAGAACCAACTCCAGCAATCTGTCTGTGTGATTTCATTAGGCACTTTGCTGCCAAATCATCTGCAATTGGAATGAAACCTGCGTGTTTGCAGCATCTAAGCCATATAAAGATGTGTGCAAGGAAACAAACAAAAAAAGATACTGAGTTGATTCATGGCAACAGGATGCCATGGATCATGCTGCGTGTTAGGGAGTAAACAGGGAGAAAACAACTGCAAAAATGTTAAGAACTGATCGTCTGAGACGTTGCACCACATATGACAATAATGGTCCTGAAATCACAAGCTCTAATTGTGGAAGACTTCTTAACGTGAGTGGGTCTTGCTAATTCATATGTTATTTCACCAGCTGTAATTCTCATGCCTCCATATGACGCAATACAAAACTTTCACCCAGGAGAAGTTCTAAATCACATTGCCAGATATAACCATCCATTAAAAATAAGAAGGCCCACTATAATGATCAGCCATATTTTTCTATGACACTTTAATGCAGATTATCCATTCTCACACAAAAATAACAATACACACCAAGTTCCCGCTGAAATTATAAACTAATTCTATCAGACCAGCGTCAGTGCACATCATTATCCCCTGTTTCACTGG